CTCCAGCCGAAGAAGGGCGGGATGGAGACCCCGATGCCGATGACCCAGGTGGCCGCCACCGCCATCAGGGCGTGCTTGGCGCTGAAGCGGAAGTTCCCGAAGGGTTTGCAGATGACGATGTAGCGTTCAAAGGCCAGGAAGGCCAGGGACCAGCAGGCACAAGGGGAGTCACTCACCGTGCGGCCCCGGCCCTGCCCTGTGCCCAGACGACACCCCCAGGACCCCAAGCCCCCTCCCCCGCCTCCTGGCGCCCGCCCCGGAGCCAGCCCCTTGGTCTTCTGCCCCGCGCTCTCCGTTCCCCCATTCGCCTGCTTCCCCGCCAGACACTTGTGGACGCAGGGGGCGGGGAAGGAGCCGACGGAAATGCCCCTCGTGACTCAGTGGATCTGGGAACGGGGTGGGGGGGTCACATCGGAGGCTGCCTGGAAAGTCATTTCACCCCCCTGACCCGGGGAACGCTCGGGGACCGGCCAAGTCTCCGGGTCTGGTTTGGAAGCGAAGCCCAGCCCTGGTGGCAGCATCCCGCCCGCCCCGGGGCCGGTCTGGGGAGGAAGGTGAAAATCTCCTGCAAAGGCTGCTCAGCCATCTCCATCCTGAGGCGGCACCTCTCCGTGTGCTGCAGCCAGATGGCTGAAGGGGGTACCCCTCCTGACCCTGCCTTCCCTGGGAATACGGGGGGAACCTGGCCTCCTCTGCAGATGGGCTCCTCAGCTCTCCCCCCTTCCCAGTTTCCCTCCCCTGCCCTGGAGCCATAGATCACACGGGCGTCCCTGGGGAACCCCCCAAATTTGGCCCAACACCCTAAGGTCGTGGGGTCTGATGGCCACTCACTTCCTGCCTGTCCCCCTGTTCTTCATTCCCCCAGGGACCCCCCGCATCCCTCGGGGCATCCAAACGGCTGGGGCCTGGTCGTTAAACGAAACCAGCTGCCGAAACCGTGCCCCCAAGAGCGGCTCACCTGGGCCAGTGTCCAGCAGCTGCTCCAGGTGGGATGAGCAGAAAGGTCCATCGCGAGGGACCCGCCCACCCAGACCCAGCC